GATGAGGCTGAAAAATACCAGCACATGAAGGATGAATTGGTAAGACGTGTTTTGCTTCTTCCCCATTTGTGCTTCCATTTTGCAGGTTATTAGCTTAAGCTAATACGTTGTGCTCTTCAGGCCGCCAAACAACGACAGCTTTACCTACTTGAATTGTTCTATTGTGAACGCTACGGAAAAGAAGCACAGGACGATTTGTCGAATAGGAGAAAAATGGTGGCAGAGCTCGAAAACAAGAAGGTAAGCCAAAATTTCGTGCTCCTTGACATCTTCCCTCTTCTCGATTCTCCTGATAAAATTCACCTTTATTTTACTTCCACTGCAGGAATGTGTTTCAGAATGAAGTTGATGAGTCTGTAAGTGAGAAACACAAGTTGGTCAAGAAGTCACAGCGAGATAGTCATAAACTTGAAAAAGAGATTGCTGATAAGGTAAGGTTTAACTCAGCTGTTTTTTAATCAGTTTTGGGATTTTTTCTTACCTGCAGGAACGAGAAATCGCGCATGAGCGACCGCTATACGTACAAGTGAAGCAGGAAGTCCTTCATGTCAAGACCAAGTTGGAAACGTGCAATAAGACGTTGAATGCGGCGCAGAAGCTTGCCGAGCGCAATGAGGAGCAGGTGCAGGCCATGGAGAACTCCGCAAGGTGTGTGCAATTACTTTCTCTTGATGTTATTTGAGCTCACTTCTCAACATCTCAATTTTCTTATTAACTACTTGTATATATGCGTTCTGTTTTTGCTATTCACTGTTATAAAATTGAAGAGAGTTGGAACGGAAGAAAGCGGAATGCGAAGCAGAACTTGAATCGCAAAGTCAGGAACTTGATCTGCATCTAAATGAAGAGCAGGTTTGAAATTTTCTGCTTTCACATGTTATTGTTTTTTCTGTGTTGCAATATTGCTTCTTGTCTGTTCTTCAATTTTCTAATCTTTCAATCTAGTTTTAGCCTTCATTTCAAATGTGAGAAGTGTTCAGATAAACGAGTACGTCATGTTGAAACGTGAGGCTGCCAAAAGATCCGGTAATAATGGATATGCAGCTCAATTCAATGAGACAAGAACATGAAACCGATCGAAGGTAACGGCTTCTGGTACACTCATGATGTTTTCTTTTGGCTCATGCAAAGCTTTCATCGAACTTCCTTATCTCGCCAAATTGATTTTTTAGTTCTAAAGTAAATGAAGAACGTCGCATGAAAGCGTGGCAGGAAAAGATCAAAAACAAGAAACAGGAGATCGAGAGACTGAAAAAGCAGGTATCTCATGCAGTTCCATTGACTACAACAATATTGTAAACTGATAACACAGTCGTTTTCTACCGCTCATTGCCTATATAAGCCAGTGGAGCTCTCCCACTCCACGCTGCTGGCAGTTCCTCCTCTAGTAGTAGCGTATTGGAAATTCCCGAAACACTGTGTTTCCTGAAGCTCCCACTTCATAGCTAGCAGAGGGTGCATTGTATTTGCGCTGTGGTGACTGAGGAATAAGACTTTCTTCCCAAACATTCATGCTTCACCGAGTGGACAGATTTCTTAGAGTTTTAAGTGTTGTTTGATGGGACGTTTTGCAGATCGACTTTCTTGCGGAGAACGCGGAGCAGCAAAAAGTGGTTTTGCAAAACGAGAAGCTGAATTTGGTGTCAATGGAAAAGCAAGTGAAGGAAAGCAAGGAAAAGTTAGAGAAGGTACAGATCACTGGGTATTTACATCTTTCATCGCATCTGGCTTTTTTATAATTATTCTTTCAGGTATCTGTTGAGCTCAATGAAATTAACAAGCAGCTCTCAGACGCAAGTGGTGATTCGGCGGAGTCTGAGCGCTTAAGACGTCGCAACGAAGCCATTGAAAACTTGAAAAGAGTTTTCCCGGATAAGGTGAGGAGGCGAACTTTCAGCTCACTCAAATTTGATGAGTTTCAGCTTAAAGATGGCGTATAAACACCTTATTAGATTGGTCACACATATTTGCTTTGAAATATCTTTCTCTAGATTCATGGCCGACTAGTGGATCTGTGCCAACCTAGCCACAAGCGTTTCAATTTAGCGGTGACGAAAGTGCTTCAAAAGCACATGATGAGTATTGTCTGTGACTCAGAAGAGACCGCAAGGGATGCGATCTTGTATTTAAAAGTGAGTTTTCTTCTTTCAGTTCATCGCAGAAGTGATCTGCTTCATTAATATCGAGATTAGTACGAAGTCGATAAAATGTCGTGACATTGGGAAAAGCTTACCCATAATTGAGTTGAAGTGTGGAGTATTTTCGGACTAACGGAGATTTCTCTTGATAGGCTCCGTGAAATTCACCACAGTCGTACTACGACATCAAAAAACTTTTGAAATAACAAATTGGAGAGCTTTCTTGTTGAAACTTTGGCTTACTGTGTGTTATGATGCCATATATTGGAGAACTCACAATCACATAAGAGCCATGCGGTAGTACCTCAAAAGAACCATTGCTACACTAAACACTGACTCACGGTATTGCGACCGTTGATAAAGCTCGTGTTTGATGTTTCCGTAAATCTCTCTCACTCGAATTCATTTGCGTAGTCTCCTATTCAGGAAGACCGTCATGAATAAGAGGAGTCCAATCACACAATTGTTTTCCTTCCTTCCACCTCTATCTCCGAGAGGAGTAGCCGAGCCGTACTGTTTGTTCTGTATCAGTATAGCAACTAGATTCAGTTCTATGAAATCTTTCATCTATTTTTTTTATTTCGGTAACTTTCTAGGAGCAGCGCTACCCTCCTGAAACTTTCCTTCCTCACCATGGTCTTGATGTTCATCCAATTAACGAAAAGCTTCGCGAGCTCACATATCCGAAAGGGAGTAAAATTGGTTTTTGATGTGATTCAGGTGAGTTCGGCTACTTGAGTCCTTGTATAGCCTACAGGGTACGTATCTGTTTTCCTTCATTGTAGTGCAACCATCCTGCTGCAAGAAAGGCACTACAATTTGCTTGTGGTAATGCACTTATTTGTGAAACAGCTGAGGATGCGAGGACGCTTGCGTATGGTAGCGCTGGAGGTGACAGGTCCGCTTTTATTCAGGAATATTTTATTTTTAGCGCTGGTATTTCAGTATTGTCATTTTCTTCAGATACAAAGCGGTTGCTCTTGGATGGAACTATGTTCCAGCAAAGCGGAGTCATTGGAGGTGGTAGCCATGAATTGAAATTGCGTGCGAAGAAATGGGACGAGAACGCTTTGAAGTGGGTTTTTAAAATCATGACCGAAGTTTTTCAATATTTTATTCCATCTATCAACTGTACTATGGTAAAGTTCGGCTATGCTACTTTCTTTCAGGCAGTTGCGTGAGCGTCGAGCACAACTTCAGGAGGAAAGCAACACTCTGCACAGAACTCGACGAAAGGAATTGGATGTCGAAATGCAAAGGTGAAAAAAATTCACACCATTTCAGAGCATAATTGGACATTGTTTCATCTTCAGGTTTTATTATTCTTTTTGTCGCTATCAAACTTCTGTTTGCTCTCTGTTCCGTCTTGATGTCTGAATTAATAGTCTGTTTTTATTTGGATCATGACTTATGTACGTATACTACGTATGACTTGTCTTAGTATTTTTTTCTTATGTGTAACTTGAAAAATCGTCTCAAAATAGGAAAACGTACCACTTCGAAATTCTTCCACATAACTCCCAATCAACATAATCGCACTTCTTCTTTCTTTGGTAGTGGTATATGAGATATTTATCGTAGGTTATAGGATCAAGTTGATTCTTTTTTCAGGAATAAGTTGACTTCAGTTGAATATCGGCTTAAAAATATGCAGCTTGAGAAGACCAAGTGTGAGACTGATACTCTAAACAAGTTAACCTTTGAGCTCGAAAGCCTTGAGTCTGAGCTGAGTGTGATTCCGGTGAGTTCTGTGTAGCGCTTTCTTGCAATAACATCCGAAACATTGGAAATCACATGTTCACAATAGGTTATAGGTTAATATTGCAGCCTAAAATAGAGGAAATAGAAGAGCGTATGCAAGAAAGGGAGAGAGAAATAGCAAAGATTGAGGAGAAGAGCAACGCTGTTGCGGACGACGTGAGTGGTTTCTGAATTTGACTTATTTTGTTTTATTTCCTTCCCTTTATTGGTTGATTCAGGTGTTTGCGAGTTTTTGCAAGAAGGTCGGAATTAAAAACATCCGTGAGTACGAAGAACGTGAGATGAGGTATGTCCGTTTTCTTTCTAGATTTTATCATGATGACCAATTTTTTCTGGAGTTATTAAACCTAATGGTTCAGATTCCACCAAGAGAAAGTTGATCGCATGCGCGAGTTCGATAACGAACTCGACCGCATACGTAATGAGCTGGAGTACTTGCGTTCCGAAGACAAAAATAGGAAAGTCAGACAAGAAATTGAGAAAGTTAGTTGAGAAAACCTACCAGTTCCTATAAAAGAGTTATTATCAGGCCATCAACGCGTAAAAATTCCAGGTCAAAAATCTCGAGAAGGAACTGGAAGCACTAAAGAAAAAGGAAACGAAGGAGGGAAAAATACTAGCGCGTTTAGAGAAGGAAATGGAAGATTTGAAGGTTTCTGCTATGGAGAAGAATAATGAAGAAAAGCTGAAGCAGACTACGTGTCAAAGAAGGAAGCCGTTAGTGACTTCATAAGTTGGATTTACGGACCGAATTCATCAGCTTCCGGAAATCTTTGTTCCCCATTTTTGGATAGTTCTAAAAAAGAAGCCGCATATGATACTGAGTCTGCAGTTATGATAGCCGATCCCTCCTCCCCTATGAAGAACGTGGCACAATTGAATCAAAGAATTTTCAACATTTGGGCCGCAACTGAGAAAGTTGACGGCAATTATGACCTGTCATGACCTCTCGGTTGATCTGTCTAAAATTTGGTTGGGATCGCACATGCACTATCGAACACGAGTATAGAGAATATCTGTTGGGACTATCTTCGACGCATTGCGCATTTTTGCTGGCGTTGAAGGTCTCCTACAAATCGTAATAATTATGGACCACAACGCGCTGTGATGTCTATGAGAGCATTGTGTTTAGTGGCTTGAAACATGTTTATCTTGACACGCGACCCTGACTTAGTGGGGGGGGTGATGCCTTATTCTGTTGTCTGCGCACATCGATGCAGGTGAGTTGATAGTGGTTTGCACACAGTGCTTCATTAGTTTGGGCTCCTCTATACGCAATAAAGTCTCGCAATAACGCATCACTATACGAGTTACTCTGACACTTCTGACTAAATTGAGAATGATGTCGATCGCACTTTCACTAAATTAAGCGATCATGGCTCCCATCGTAATTCGCATCCTTATTCCAGAAACCGCCCTAATTTAATTACACATCTTGAACCATACTGTGCGAAGTTCTGCCCAACTTTCAATTCCCATTTCTTATTTTTCATCATCGACCTGGCATAATCAGTTTTCGAAGCATAGCTCAAGAGTATGATATGAGCGATATCCTTTAGGCTTTTATGGCACCACATGAGGATGATTTTAAGCGATTCTTTTTGCTTACACGACTTTCAAGTTATTTTCCACTTATGCGTGAAAGTAATATATTCGTATTAAGTAATATCGTAAGCATACGTATTAAATAGATAATTAAGGACCTAGGACAGTTGAGTATTGTTTTTTATGTTCTCTATCACATGCTACTGAAATTATAGTCCTTTTCGAATGCTTGAAGTTTTTCAATAATGTCAAGTAAAATGACTAATGGATTATTGTGAAACATGGAAGTTGTGCTACCTCCTGAAAATAAATCATTTGACAAACTGTTAAAAACAACGATTCCAATGTTGATCATGGGAACTATTAGGTACCGGATATCTTAGTGTCGCTTTTCTGAGTTCAGGAAGTTTTGGGGCCGATTACTATGGAAAATCAATATCCCAGAAGGCAGTTTTTGCTCATTAATATTGCGAAATATGTTGCTTACCGTCTTCTATTGTTGGTTCACAATTTAACTTTCCCCCAATTTTTATACTTTCTTCTGAAAATTCCTGGGTCCAGTGTGCAAATTCGCATGTGTGTACCAAATGCATCAAAATTCTTGCTGAGAGCTGTAACCTCCGCCCACCAAACCAGCATTGCATTTGATGGAGGGAATACTACCATTTAAAATGCTCATCGGTTTTTCACAGTTTTCTTAAAAGACAGTAAAGTCTTTGAAGGGATGCCCGCAACCGTCGCCAAAAAGGTGGTCCTAGCTAAATCGTCCAAACGGCTGCACAGTCTTGGTGCTGAATGAGGACATCCGCCTAGCAGTTACGATCGATGGTGCACAGACGCTCTAACGAAGTTGATTGACCAAGAAATTCTAATAAATGTGCTCACCTGCCACTCAGTGTGCTCAAAAAGGGTGCGTTTTTGACCCCATGTAGCAAAAAAGACTCCGGGAAAAATTGTCCAGTTGAGCTGGTAAGTAATAAATTTTCCACCAAACAGTGCAGACCCTACTCTAACTAAATGTATACATATTTTGTCCAGGCCCAACTGTTTAGCAAGGTAGAGGGATGATTTGTCGATAGTAAAAATTCGACTAACTTCAAAAAATTCCTAACTTTAATCGTACGAGGTGTTCACTCATACTGGTAAATGGGAAAGGGCTAATGACATTCGATGGAGATGCCGTTTCACTCACTGGATTTTGAATTAAAATATTGGTCGTATAACTTCGTATAAAGAACTACAGAATCCGTAAACCTACTAGTGAAGAATTTTATAAAGTTAAGCGTCTGTTTTTTTGCTTGATTGTAAATGACGGTCGTATTTGCAAGTGAAATCGAAAGTTTTTCCAGGCGGCCCAACGTGAAGTAACTGGCGCCGAGAAAACAGTCCTAGCGTTGGAGAGCCTAGTTAGCAGAAAGCATGCTGAAAGACATGCACTGCTACACTCAGCGAAGATCAATCAAATTCAAATTCCGCTCTTATCGGGTAGCTTGGCTGATGTTGACGCGGAAGATGAAGACGGTAATTTTTGCTGTTGTACTTTCATGTCGTGTTCTGACATCATTGAAATACTGGTCCTTACAGAGAACAGCAGGATGGAAGTCAACCTTCAAACTCGAACAATCTTTCTCAAGAGCAAATTGAAAGAGAATCGAAAATTAAAGTCAACTATAAATCGCTTCCTGAGAATTTGAAGGATGTGAAGTGTAAAATCGATTTTTCTTACTCTTGGTCTTTTGTCATAATTTCATTTTTTTACAGCTGAAAGACGAGGAAGAAGTCAAAAGACACGTCGAAAGAATGAACAAAGACATAAATGATTCCCAGGCGACGTTATCACGATTAAATGCGCCTAACCTCAAAGCAAGTCAAAGGTATGACGTTTGCAGATTTGAATCGCGTTTTTATACGACTGATTTATTTTGTTTGCCCTTGTTCTTTTATTTATGGTATTTTTCTGTACGCATTCACTCTTTTCTCTCTCATTTCGACCATATTGTTCTGAGTAGCATACATCGATTTCTGTTTCTAGGATGGAGGAAGTGAAAGAGCGAGAAGCAGAAAC